TGCACTGAAAATTACTTTATGTAACATAACACAAATCTCTCTGTTACGTTCGTGTGCGTTCGTAACATCGGTTGTACTCTCATGGTTACACAAATTATTTCACACAACAGTTTTATACAAATTACTTTAAGTAACAGGTATTATACTTGTTACGTTGTGCTGATTGTAAATATAGAGCTATGCTTCCCAAACATAATAAGCAGTGTAACAGCTGTCACGCATTTTAGTTTATGCGACGTTTGTTACATACACCACTTTGTATAACAACGGTAACGTAAAATTGTGAATGTAACAACTGTTATACACGTACACACACGTGTTGTGACATAGAGTAACTTTCAGTATGAAATGTCGCGTCTTAGGCTCGGGCTCCGGCTGCACTCCCCACCCCAGTCGCCTTTTTGTTGTGCAACAATCTTGTTGCTGACATGACGCACGCAGTCACCACACTGGTAAAACAAGTGTGCAATATTTGCACACCAACGTGTGCAAGTTGTGATTTAACACATTACATGGTGTTTAACTCAAGTTGCACACTTGCGTGGTGTGCAAATTTTAGACGTTTTGTAAACGTTTAAATTCTGCACACTTGGACACACGCAGTTCTATGCTTTCAATAGGGAACCATACGGTGTGCAGCTGCTATACGTTTCGGTAGTGTCGAAAGTTTAAACACCAATTGACGTATAACATAGTTCGACACCACAAAGTGTCGAGAAAATGCACACTTGAACTTAAACGTCAATTGACGTGCAAAATTAAACACTTGTTTTACCAGTGAACACTAAGAAACAGATGTAAAACTGAGGTTAACTGATGTAAGGAATTAAGTATAGTCAACCTATGTTAACCCGATCTAAAGATCTGCACTCAATACCACAGCCGAAGTTCTGACTACAGTTCGTTTACAGATCTTTCCACCCAGCAATCTTAAGCAATTGTGAACACTCGGAGTGTATCACTAGAACTTGTAGCTTCCGTAGTAGCTAAAATATTCTAAAATACTTCTATAATACCCACAATATATGGTACTGCGTACACGGCTCAGCCGAATCGGCCACTCTGCGTATTTAGGTTAGGAAAATTGGAATCGGAAAATTGGTAAATAGGAAAAAATAATTAGGAATGCGAAATTTAGGACGAATGAGTTTAGGACATTTTGTGGTTAGGAAAAGTGGAGTAGGAAAAATAGGTGGGAACGATGTCATCCACATAAAGGCAAACATAGATCTAAAAAATCTGAAAAAAATCTTTGAAACTCAGCGAAGGGCTTTATGACAATGTCATTGCCAGGGAAGCGGCCCTTTTCCAGACTGCGCCTGGGAAACGTGTGAGGTCACGGCCGCAAACGTCAAAACCTAATTATGCTAAAATCAAAATCTGGTTAGTGATTTGGATTCAGCTCGTCGAAAGAAAATGAAAGTGTCTTACACGCCGAGACGATCGGAGGCAAAATGCCAGAGTTATTGACGTTCAAAGTGACAATAAGTGCCAACAATGACTTGGTGTCACTTTGAACGTCAATAACTTTGGCATTTTGTCTCCGATCGTCTCGGCGAATAAGACACTTTCGTTTCCTTTCTACGAGCTGAATCCAAATCACTAACCAGCTTTCGATTTGAACATAAAAAGTTCCGACGTTTGCATGATCATGGTATCCCGTAAAAGACTGCTCATCGTGCCCCAAAAGACAACTTTTTGGTCTAGAGAGACCTGAGTTAACCTCAGGTGTTCTAAAAACCCAGTCGGGTAATTCGAATGAACCCGACTGGGTAATAAAAAACCCTGCTGGGTTCCGTGAAGCCCTGCCGGGATTTCGCGTCACCCCATCGGGTTTCGGTGAAACCCAGTCGGGTTTGACTAAACCCTACCGGGATCCGGGTACCGGGTTTTGCAGCTGGGCCGTCATGAAGGGGCTCTGGTTTGGTCCTGGCCTGGCCACGTCCGGCAGCTGGCGTGGTGCGGAGCGGGGGAGAGCATCACCAGCACACGCACCACCGGCATGGCCTTGAGCTGCGTTTCCCGACCTGGGCCTCGCCCTGGCCACCTTAGGGCCATGCCGGTCTGCGGAGCGGAAGCGAGTTAAGAGCGCCACCGTAGCAAGAGGGATGCGGGGGTGAAGGAAGGTTTCGGTGGGGAGGGGGTGTGTGCCGGCATGTTAAAGCCTGCCTCAGCGCCTCGCATTTGTCCAGCGTCCACCTTGAAACCAGGTCGTGTGTGTTACCGTGATTGATTGAAAAAAAATTTCAAAGATGTCTGACGAAGAATTCATCGATGTTGAGGAGGTGTCGGGGGACACAATAGATTTGAACTGCTCATCTAATTTGGGATTGGTAAGTAGAGTGCCTTTTTAAAAATACAGTCGGATGTGAAATGATAGCGTCTTTGAATGAAATTTCACGGTTGCACCATAATACTTGCCACGCCAGTATTTTTTTTTAAAAAAAAAAAAATGCCGTGGCAAGACATTCGTTTTTTCAGTTAACCCTGTGCCGATAAGGCAAAATTCGGTCGTTTTCTCATGATCTCGCCTCGCGTTGCGAGCCTATGTATGGGTGAGTCCCACGTGCGGTACGGTTTTGGTTTTCTAGTTGTTGTTTTTTCCCTTTTATTTAACACAATATGTACGCCTAGAGCATCTTGCGCATGTCCTGTTATTTCTTTAAACTGAAACAAGCAGGCCCGCCCTTCCGCCAAACGGTTCGGCAGGGGCCAGGCCTGCTTGGCCTGCCGGCGGCGATGGTCGGGCCTTCGGCCCGACCATTTCAGTCTCGCGATTTACTGAAGTGCATAATCAAATAAATAATGTGACCGGTAAATTACTTTGCACATTTGAGTAAACTAAAGCGTTCGGCGGGGGGCCTGCGGCCCTAAAGATTTGCTCCTTGGAAATGACAAAAGACTGTAACGGGGCAACACCGTGACTACACCCCACCCTTCTGCTTTGCTTAAAAATTTAAAAGATGAACCCGCGCAGTTTTTAGATTGTCTATTGTTTGTCAAAGAGTCTTATAACTTGACTTTTTGCCATTGTTTTCAATATATCCACCTCTAGGGCCGAAACAGTAAAAGATACGGCTAATGCGAGGGTAGTTCCTGATTCAGAACGTGTTGTTTTGGGGGGGTACTTCCTCTGACATTTTACGATTGGACGCCTCCTTGTACGTCTTTATGTGCAACGCGGTCATTTTCGCCGTATTTTCGTCGAAAAAAGCACTCTAGCGCCCAAACGGTGCCAGATAGAGTCAAACGGACAAAATTGTCGCCCAGAGGGCTCTACTTTCACGAGTTACCCCTTAGGAGACCATAAAAAAAATATTTTGTTTCTACTTTTTGGACCAACCCCTATTTCTTTGTTACCCCCTTTCACCCCCTTAGGGGTGGTTGCTAGGATTTGCACCAGGCGTTTCGTTGTCCAGGAGCGACCCCTAAGATACCCTGAAATTTGCAGACCTCTAGCTCATCTCCTTCCTCTTACACGGACGACGGACAGACAGACAGACAGACAGACGGACACGAGAGCGGTTGCATAAGCCCGCTTTAATGCTTTTTTAAAAGCAGAAGGGCGGGCTAAAAACACACACACACAAAAAAAAAGATTTTCGCGCGTCACATAACCTGCCTTACAGCTTCAGGGCGGTCAGGGACTGGGACAAAGGAGCCTCCGCGCTCCGCGCCGTTTCGAGGCGTCAGGGCAACCTAACCTCTGACTTTTTCTTTCACTTCGCCTATCAGCTTTGTTTGCTCGTGACCTTTGAGTTTCGTTTGTAATGCTTGCGCTGAGATTTAATTACGTTTCAGGAGGGAGGTGGGGGTGTGATTGCGATCGTAGACTAATATTCGTTCGTTTTTTTCAGTCCTTGTCAAGCATCAGCGAGACGCATTCGGCGCAATCGCTCCCGCATTATGGAGCACCTGACATGCCAAAGTTGTCTTCGTCTTCATTGGAAACAGACGTTTTGCCTCCTGGAGAGGTTAGTTTATTTTATTTTAATAAAAACAGTCTTGTATTCTAGGGGGGAGAGTTGTCGGTTTGCTCATACAATGTGTTCTTTTAATATCCAGTGCGATGTCGAGAGCCCCAATGAGTTGTTGCCGGACGACGTTGCGACCCTAAAGGCTTCAACCCCCGTCCACGCTCCCGACTTGGCAAATGACCTGCAATAGGGCATTCCAGGCTATCCAAAACGGAAGTAGGAAAAGAACAAACTCACTGACTTTTCTGTTTCCGTGGTGGCTCTGATTGGTTAAGCTCATCACGTGTCACCGCGGGGTTTCAGGTATGAAAAACTGTCAGGTCAGTTTCGAGCTCGCCTCCATATTTGAGAGGTTAGAATCGGTCCATACTACCATGGCAATTTCTCATACTGAGCAGACGGAAACAAATTAATCGGTGAGTTTGTTCTTTTTCACTTCCGTTCTAGATAGCCTGGAACACCCTATTGAGCTCATCGCTGTCGTCGGTTGGAGAGGTTAGTTTGTCTGACTTGCATTCTAGGGAAGTGAAGTGGAGGTGTCCTTTGTGGGCTTGCCCATATTCGATGTGTTCTGTTTTATTTTCAGTGTGAGGTTGTCATGAGCGACGATGATGATGATGATGATGATGATCCTACGGAAGTGATGCACGCGGTCAGCGCGGCCATCGAGTTGGCTGAGTCATTGGCCGTCATCACTTACGATGCGACTTCTGATGTGACTTCTGATGCGGGAGAAGGCCAACATAGGCGCCGGAACCCCAAAGTAAGTACAGAGCACAGCACGCGCCCGCACACACACACACACCTATTTTTTTGTATTTATTGGCTGAGCGATTAGCGAAGCCTATTACTCCGACTGGTCGAAAAAAACTTTGTCTGTCTGTCTGTCTGCACGTCTGTCTGTCTGTCTGTCTGTCTGTCTGTCTGTCTGCACGATAACTCGAAAACGAATTGAGCTAGCGACCTG